TGCGGGCGCCCGAGTGCTGATGATGCTCGCCGGCTCGCCTCCTGGGGTTGTCCACGGCGGCCCCGAAACCCGCCATAGCCTGGCGAGGCGGTCGTGGCTTTTTGCTTCGCATACAAGTAACTTGAACACAAGCGCTCGGAGACCGAGCTCTGCCCGACTTAATGGCTGCCGCCACTGCCGCCGACCCCCAAAGGCAGTAGCCCACCGTGCCACGTGGTTGTCAGGGGCTCACAGCATCACAAAGTGTTTGTGTTTGAGAGAGACGCAGTTGAGGGGCCGGAGACACAAGAGAACGGCAGAAAGAGAGAGAGAGAGAGAGAGAGAGAGTGAGAGTGAGAGTGAGAGTGAGAGTGAGAGTGAGAGTGAGAGTGAGAGTGAGAGTGAGAGTGAGAGTGAGAGTGAGAGTGAGAGTGAGAGTGAGAGTGAGAGTGAGAGTGAGAGAGAGTGAGAGTGAGAGTGAGAGAGAGAGAGAGAGTGAGAGAGAGTGAGAGAGAGAAAGAGAGAGAGTGAGAGAGAGAGAGTGAAAGAGGAGATAGAAAAAGACAGAGAGAGCGAACGAGAGAGTGCGAGAATGAGAGAAGGTACCGCCGTAGCTTCCTGGCGGAAGTATACCTAGGGTTGGGGTCAAGGTTCGGGTAAACTTGCAGCTCCAAACCTCAGCACTGACTCTTTAGCACCGAATCCTGCAAACCCCTGCAACCCACCCCAAGCCCGAAGCCCCAATCTTTCCAGGTGCCTGGTGCTCAGAGGGTTGGGGCTTCGGGTGCAATGGTTTGGGTTTGAGGGTTCTAGGATGTTCGAAGTGATTAGGGTTTCAGGCGCTTGGGGTTTAGGTGCTGACCAGGTGAGCCCTTCGAAGGGCCCTGCATGCCCTGCTTTCTCACCAGGTGAGCCCTCGCATGGGCCCTGGTTGGGCGGTGTGGGTGCAGGGGGTGTGGGTGGTGGGGGTGCGGGGTGTGCGGTGCGCACGAATTGGCAGCGTAAAAATTTGTAAACACGCAGGAAGTACGAGCCAAGAATGCACTGGGGGCACGCATTGGGTAGTGGGGGCGGTGTGGACGGTGTGGGTGCGGGGGGGTGCGGGCACGCATTCGCAGTCTTTGGTGGTGGTGGGGGTGCGGGGTGTGGGCACGCAGAGGCAGCCCTTTTTGTCTCTGGACACCTAAGAAGGGGGTGTGGGGGCACGCATTGGGTGGTGGGGGCGGTGTGGGCGCATTGGGTGGTGGGGCCGGTGTGGGCGGTGTGGGAGCAGGGGTGTGTGGGCGGTGGGGTGCGGAAAGGTCTGCGCACGAGTTGGTAGCCTGGGGTAAATCGCCAGGAAATACGAGCCCAGAATGCACTGGGGGCACGAATTGGGTGGTGGGGGCAGTGTGGGTGCAGGGGGGTGTGTGCACGCATTGGCAGCCTTTAAAGACTTCCTAGACACCTAAGAAGCACACGAGCCTGCTAGGAATCAACGGCTTTGACCGTAATTGTCCAAACTGAAGAACATAATGTCGCTGGGCCAGAAGTCCCGGATGTGTTGGCCATACCGATGGCGGCATTGACGCTCTGGGCGCAGGAGTCCTTCGCGCTGACGCTTTGTGCTCCGGCGTCTCTGAAGGCCCTTGCGGAGCCAAAACCGACGTCGTCATGAGCTGCGGAGGTCACGAGTGTCAACCTAAACAAGGTCGAAGCTGGGACAGGGCTAGGGTCCTTGCGTGTCAGTGGACTTCCTGAAAGAGCTTCTCTCCGCACGTCTTCTGCATGCCGGCCACCTCTTGGACTACCCGAATAGATGACACAGTTCTCCGGCTTGTCACCTCCGGAGCCCGGGAAACGAGCAACTCCATAAGAGAAGTGTGCCGAAGAGTCTTCTTGCAGATTACTGCGTCGCACGCCGAAGGAGCCGCTCGGACTTCGCACAAGCATTGAGAAACATCCGAAAGGAGGGCTGGTGCCTAAAAGGAAAGGGCACCAACCTCGAAGGATTAGAAAGGGGTGAGACGAGAAAGTCTGCAGCCGAAGAGCACCTCAAGCTTGAGAGCAACGAGCTGCAACGAGCGACATTCGAAGACTTCAGCGCCCTGCACTGACACTTTACCGCCCCCGTCCTTGCCTTCCAGGAACGGTTGCTGAAACATACCCAAAGAAAACGCGGCGAGGACCTGCGGTTCTGCAGTGCTGCAGCTCATTCGCAGTGTGGGCCCGGCCCGGTTGCAAATACATTCGACGTAGTACTCGGTACTTGGAGCCCAGTACAAGCTAGATTTCACAAAGACTTCCAACAACATGGAGCCCCAAACCTTGCAAAAGCTCGTCAGAAAACGAAAGCTGTCAGAAAGAACATGCTTGAGTGGAAGAACGAACTCCGATATCCGATTTCTGTTTGCTGCAAAAGTTTGGAGGCTCAGGATTTCGCTCACTACAACTAACTACTCAGCACGCATCCTCTATGGAACTTCTGTGAAAGTGCTGCACCCAACAGTGACGCATCAGCCAAATGCACAAGTCCCGCAGCTTCAATCGTGAACTGCCGATGGTGACCCCCGAGCCGCACAACTCAGACGGCACATAATGCACCAGGAAGCTTGGCTGTTGCGGCGGGCTTCTTCATCACCAAGGGCATGTTGGCAACGTGCGAGACAAGCGCAGGGTGGACAAGTACGGCGGCCAGGAAATGCTGTGGACCCCCAGCAAATCAATACCACGGCGTGATAAGCTGTCTTGTTAACCCGAGAAATCAGGACCGAAATGTGAGGAAGGCCCTGTCAAATTAACTAGAAAGCGGGTGTCGCAAAAGTGCTTGAAGCAGCGATGTATGGCAGGCAATCATATTTGTCATTGATCCATCCATCCATCCATCCGTCCATCCATCCATCCACTTATTCATCTGTGAAGCCACCCGATAACTCATCTATCAATCGACGCATTCATGTGTTCTTTGATTCAGACATCCATCCGTCGATCTATGTTTTCATTCAAGTTTTCAGTGCATTGATCCATTCATATATACATCCATGGTATCTTTACATCACTCATATCTCAATTCATCCATTCAGTCATTCACTAGCTCATGTATTCATCCATGCCTCCAGCGATCCATGCATATAGTGTATTCAATCATCCATTCATCCACGCGCACAGCCAGCAGGATTCGGCGACGTGGCCACGCCAAGCAGTTGCGCACGCCCAGCGAGCTTTCGCACGACCACAATATTCTTCCCATGGATTGGCGGGGTTCGGATGGCTTCCCAAAGCACGAGAAACATGTTTTCTCGCATGGACTGGCGCGATTCATCTGAGAAACACAACTGAAGGGGGTGCGGGGTGTGACTCTAGACACCTAAGAAGCCTGGGTGGTGGGGGTGGTGCGGGTGGTGCGGGTGGTGGGGGTGGTGGGGGTGGTGGGGGTGGTGGGGGTGGTGGGGGTGGTGGGGGTGGTGGGGGTGGTGGGGGTGGGGGTGGAGGGGGTGGTGGGGGTGGTGGGGGTGGTGGGGGTGGTGGGGGCGGTGGGGGTGCGGGGCTTTGGGTGGTGGGGGTGCGGAAAGGTGAATTGGCAGCATTTAAATACTTTGCAAACACCCAGGAAAGACGAGCCAAGAAGGCACTGGGGGCGCGGTGGTGGGCGCGCCGCATTGGGTGGTGAGGGTGGTGGGGGCGGTGTGGGCGGTGGGGCTGCGGGGGGGTGGCGGTGTGGGCGGTGGGGTCGGGGGGTGCGGGCACGCATTGGCAGCCTTTCAATACTCTCTGGACACCTAAGAAGTGTGGGTGGTGGGGGTGGTGTGGTGGCGAGCACGGTGGGGCAGCAAACGAAAGCAATCACGGTGCGGGTGATGCAGGCGGTGTGACGACAAACCTCACTGGCGCCGCCCGCCAAGGGGGTCGGCGGACAATAGGGACCCAAAATGGACCATAATTTTGACAACCACCCATATGGGTATTGAAGACGAAAGGAACGGGAGCCTGATTGAACGAATGATGCTGGTCATTCTTCTGTAGTGTTGCACTTGGAGCCTTGGGTTAGGGCTCAGACAGGTTTGGATGGTTTCGGGTTCATTGTAAACCCTAAACCCTAAAACCTCAGCCCTAACTTAAACCCCCAAGCTACCCTGTTACATACCCTCAGAATCCACTATTTGTTTAAGGGTTTAAGGCTTTTAAGGTTTCGGGCTTCAGGTTTAGGGTTTGGGGTTCGTGAGGGTTCTTCAGGATCTATGCAAGGGCTTCTCGTTTGGGGCTATTGCTTGATGTTGTTTCCTGCTGATAAAGGCTGGGGGTTGCTTAATTAGGTTTAGGGCCGTCAAGGCTGGGAAGTGGGGACTGGACGCAGAACTCTCAAAAACCCTATACAGACCAGACCCCCAAAAGGCAAAACCCGGAGCCCTGAAGCCTAAAGCGCATCCCAGGTCTGATTTTGCATCTGAGTTCGATGGCTGTGTTGAGGTCTACGGCTGCATGTTGTAGGCCGCCAGCTCGGCATGCGAGAGCCCCTGCTTTCAGCCTGCAAACACCTGCAACAATCGCATAGGACCGGCGACGGAGATATCAGAAATTCTGAAGCAAGACCCTCCAGAGCTCTAGACCCTACTTTCGCGAGAGCTAAGCAACGACGGGGGCCTAGACAGGCAAACCCCGGAACCATCAACCGTGAAAGCCGGACCTTACGGCGATCGTATTCTACAACGAGTCCATTTATAAGCTCATCATTGCACCCTATGAAGGGCAGGTAGCATGGGTCGTTGAAGTCACTGAAGCGGGAACGATCAATCTGCGCCTGCAACTCCTGCGTTGACAAAGGTGGCACGAGTTTTGGGTCTGTTTAAGGTCTTTGTCATGCTACCTTGCTTTTATCAACATAAAGCTTCAGTGCTTTAGGATGTCAAGAAGCTTCTTCGGTTCTGGGGTCCCCGGGGGCTGCCACTTCGAGAATAGTTTTGAGGCAGGTGCAGCATTGGTTCTATCACAACAACATCAGGCAACTTTGATTCCTGTAAGCCTAAACCCGTCATGCGAAAACCCTAAATCCTGGAGCCCTGGACCCGAACATCCCTGGGCCGAATTCTGGACAGGAAACTGCTGCTGTCCTCAATCTGACTGCAAAAATCGAAGCGCAAGCTTTGCAAGTCGGTTCGCGTCTCTCCCTTCATCTCCTCGACCTGGGACGCAATTAGTGGCTTAGGGAAGGACAAGACAACGTCGCCGACTCAAGCAGGGATTGGTATGGCTAATGTTGCGACAGCCAACTGCCCCACCCCAAGACAGTTCCTCATCCTTCCAAAGCTTCAAGAAACCGTCTGCTCCATGTGAGTCTCGTCGTAAATCCGAGCTATAAACCGGCCTCCCCTTACCGTCGGAACCCTCCCAAGAAGACGAAGAACATTTCCTTGGCCGGGGAGTTACCTGCCAAACGCTGCATCCTAGACCTGAAAACTCTACGTTCGAAACCCTAAACCCTACACACACGAAACCCTAAAACCCTGAAACTCCGAAACCCTAAGACCCCTAAACTGCCAGAGCTTAAACCCCTAAACCCGCGAAAGCGCCCTCAGCTTTCAACTGCAGGGAGATCTCGGGACCCAGCAATGCGCTGCACGGCCTTCGTGGCCAAGAGTGCAGCGACGGTGTCGCCTTTCGTGGCATTTGTTCAGGGCTTAGGGGTTTAGGGGTTTGGGGGTTTAGGGGTTAGGGGTTTAGCGGTTGGGGTAGGGCCGCTTTCTAGCGCTAAGGGTTCATGACGGTTCATGGCTGAGGGGCTCTGCTTGTATTAAAGCAAAGACTCTCCTATAGTTCAGGGATGACCCCCCTTTAGCGGCACGCCGGGGCCTTTCGTTTGCGTGCAGTGCAACGCCCTTTGCACAGAGACAGATGACGAGAAACTGTATTGTTTTTGGGTTTTGATTGCACAAGGTACGACGTCTCGCATGGCATGGATAAATATGCTCGGAGTGGCCATAGCGTCTTGGGCGACATGGGTGTGCCTAGCCAGACTGTACATGCACGGCCGTCGATGTGGTGGTTTCGCACGGCAGGCGACGGTAGACAATACTCTTTTGCGAGATCCGTATTAAGCCAAAGCGCTCTTCTGATTATTGAGGGCCCCCATATTAATGGGTTTGGAGCTTCCCCCCGCCCGCTTTTTTTCCGCATTTGCTGGCATTTTTGCTACGGCCAGAATAGAGCTTGAGGACCTTACAAGCCAAAACCGCACTGTTTCGGGCTCAGCGATCTTGCGGTGTGGAGTTTTCACACGTGTGCGCAACAGGGAATGGGAGAAAGATGTCTCAAACGAAGTATACAACCCCAAAAGGTCCCAGAGCTGTAAATCCTAAAACCCTATGTAAACCCTAAGCCCTCCAATTTGCAGGCCCAGGATCTTTTGCTGATGTCGCCACGGATTTTCAAGAGCCCTTGCACGAGCTCTGTGATCTGCAGGGTACCTTTGGGCTTAGAGCTTCAACTGTTTCTGGCGTCGGTATCTGGCTTTCGGGCTTAGGTATAGGGTAACAGAGTGACGGTATGAGGTATTGCAGATCTAGTCAATGTTGGTGTCCATGGTTGTGGCAGCTGTAATTAACGCCATGTACCCAGCCAAGAACAGGGAGGAACTTTGGCCTTCCACGCTTGACCTTATGGTTCGCTGCGTTCTATTGCAGCTCTTTGAACAAAGCTTCGGGGTTCGTTCCCCCTGAAATTTAGGCGCCGAAAGAAACTTCAAAGAACCTTTGAGTTGGCAGACCTTCGGATGTTGCATACTTTCTTCGGAAGTCCGGAAGTCCGAAACCTTGAGGCCCTAAACTCAGAAACCGAAAGCCCAGAACCCTTGAAGAAAACACCTCAACTACCTGTCATGTGCTCCCTCCCATGAGCGCAGCCCGGTATTCCAGAAAACTCGCGTGGTTTGGGGGAAATGCGAAAGGTGCTGGGCTAGATTCTGCATGTTAAAGCTCTAATCAGACAGAAGATGGTTGTAAATGCATCCTGATAATGCATGGTCATGCTTATTCGGACGCCTTTTTGTCGTGTTCGGGCTTGACGAGCGGTTGATTTCCAAGTAGGTGGGCTTAAGGAACAAACCCGTCAACCTTGAACATCTCACCAAGCCTAGGTTCCAAACTGAAACCTGCACTCAACCCTAAACCCTGAACCGTGAACCCGAAGCCTGAACCCCAAACCTTGAACCGAAGAACAAGTTTGGGGTTTTGGCTTCGGCGGGGATCTTTCGTCCGATTGAAATAGGGACTTAACAGATAGAATAGGCCTCCGGGTTAGAGCTTAGGGCTCAGGGTTTTATACACGGGCACAATCAGGAACAGGAAGGAAAGTAATTCTTCAGACTTCTATTTACAACCCATTTTCACTTCGTGCTGCCACTGCCATCGGCATCGATCACTTCGAACAAGGTGGCCTTGTCTCTCGGTTTTTGCATGTGTGTGTGCGTCTCTGTTTAGGGTACGTTCTGGGGTTTGAGATTGGCCCCAACCCGTGGAGACCTCAAGAAGGGGCCCTTTAGGGAAACCCTGAACTCCCGTAAAACCTAAACATACCGTTTTGAGCACCTACTCAACAAGCTGCCTTAGAGCTATCAAGAGGATCCCTTCGTAGGGCCTGCCAGCGTTCCCAGCAATAAAGCCCGAATGTCTGAACAACAAGTAAAGGACTTCAACAGCGAGTCCATGCATGTAGGTCGGGCGTTTCAATTTTAGGGCTTGAGGTCCATGCTATAGGGCCTGAACATAAATACTTATGGTAAGGAACCTGAACCCCACAGACTCGTGCTGTTAGCTATTGAGGCCCCTGCATTAGGGGTTTGGCTTTGGGGTTTCGTGGCTCCTTCTCAGCACCGGCTAGGAGGGTTCCCAGGCTCAGAGCCTGATACCTCCTATTGAAATGCAAACCGCTTGCAGGACAAATTGACCGTGCTATGATATAACATGGTATCGGTATCAGATGATACAGGGCGATATAATCTGATATGACGTACTATAATCAGATACAGTATACTAGCACATGACATAAGACTACATAAATCAACTTGAATATCCAGGTTCTCTGACGCGACAAGGTTTGGCATAGCTCTGAGTGGCTGTGCAACTGCGACGCAGTTGGAAGCGGTAGCCATGGACCACTGAACCCCGAAACCTAAACGAGCCACAATCTGGCAAAGCAGACACCCCATAAACCGGCAACTAGGTGTCGATTTCAACAGTCCCAAAATTTATTTCTCTTTAGGGCTCCATGTTACACAGTAGGGGAGATGTGCAAATCCCAAGTCGAATCAGTACCTGCGGAAGCACTTCGGCTTTAAGGATTTGAGGGCGTCCACATGCAGACGTGAGACCCGGACTCCGAAGCTGTCCGCGCTGTCCGCACCCTAGACTCCCCTAGACCCCCAATGCAGAACTCCGGTCCTTCCGAACACTCTCCCGAAACCAGAAACCACAAGAACCCTGGCGTTTCTACCGCGATGGAAAACCTATAAAACCTCCGCATTTAGAAGGGCGTCCCGCTCTGGAGGGAGGTCCAACTCGTCCATCAACACCTCACACTCCGGGTTCAAGCTTTAGGCTGCAGGGCCCCAGCAATAACGGGCTCTGCGATAGATAAGGGTTTAGCACGCTTGGGGGTCAGGGTTTAGCGTGTCAGGTACGGTGAGGGATGTCCCAATATCCCACATTACTCCCCATCTCGACGGCCGCCAGGCCTCCGGCGCGATACCCGCAAACCTGAAGTGCCAACACCAGAGTGCTCAAAACCAAAAACCTACATCCACAAACTCAAAACCCCACGTATACCGCGACCGAAGAGAGCAAGCCATCGAGCCTCACAGGACCCTCACATGAAAGCACTGGCAACCCAAGGCCTGGGATAGCCAAGAGGCTTTCAACCAAAAGTGGAAACCGGGTTTAGGGTTTAGGGTTTAGAGTTTAGGGTTTAGGGTTTAGGGTTTAGAGTTTAGGGTTTAGGGTTTAGAGTTTAGGGTTTAGGGTTTAGGGTTTAGGGTTTAGGGTTTAGGGTACCGCAACCAACTCCTACAATTCCTCAAACCGCTGGCTATCCCTTGACCCCGAACCTCCCACAAACGAAACCCGAAGTCCTAGTTAGAGCTCCAAACTCTCAAAGCCCTAGGTCTCAAGTAAAATGATAACGGCCAACTCCTACAGAGACACCGCCGAAGTTTGAAACCAGATCAAGAAGATAACAAGCGCAACTCTGAACCATGACCCCCCCAAACCCTAAACCGCAAACTTCAAAACACCCGAAGCCCAAACACTAAACCCAACTCCACAAGCCACACGCCCCGCAAAGCTTTGCAGGCCTGCACCTGACGGTCTTGGATAACCAACCTTCGGCGGTATAAGGGCTTAGGGTGTGGGCGTCTTTAAAGGCCCCTGCACCTCTTCGACAAGGGTTACCATAAGGGTTCCAATATGGGGCCTCAGTAGTCAATCAGGGTTTGGGCGTTGTATAGTCTTTGGCTACGGAGCTTGGGGCTCGTGGTACCGGTTACCTGTTATTCAAGGCCCGGTTTCATGGGTTAGGGACTCTGACTTTATGAGGCTCCCGTGTTTTAGGATTTTTAAGGGTTTAGGGTTGGCTGGTTTGGGGTTTCGTGCTGCTTACAGGGTTCACAATTTGGGGTTTGGGGGTCTCGGGCTTCTCTAAGATTTACAGGGAACTCCAGAAAGTTGGAATATGGATTAATGGTAGGATCCCCTATAATTTACCTTAAAGGGTTTAGGATAATCATATTCCAACTTTCCGGCTTTTACTGTAGGGTAAAGGCTTAAGAGGACTCAGGGTTGACAGGGGCAGAGGGCTCAGGGATGGGAGCTGCGCTCGGGTTCGGGCTCTCTGCGTCTTCGGCCATGGGTGTAGGGTTCAGGGTCAGGGCTTAGGGTTTCATTCGGGTTTCGGGCGCAGGGTTTGGGGTTGCTCTCGGAAGTTTTGGAAGGCGTGGTCCTGCGAGGGGCATGGGGTTTTGGCGTTGCAGGACGGGAGGCGTTTACATCTTGGCTTAAGGCTTGCGAAGGCACTCCATCCCCCCAGACCTAGAATCCCTTTAGCCCAAACTCCATAGCTTAAACCCTTTAGGTGTATAATATTTACGATTAGGTTGCAAATCGTCTGAAGCACGCCATGTAGTCGGGATTGGCGATTGCGGGTGAGGGACTGCAGGACTGATCAAACAGGGTGGACCAGAGAAAACGATAATATATAGAGATCAGTCGAATATGCACGATGTCTGCGCAGATGAGTGCTTATTCAAATTCTTTGCTGCCGCTCATGTTCCCCTCATTCCGACGTTCCAAGGGCCTTTGCTTGTGGGCAGGAACGCGGACAGAAGTCTGTGACGACCAAAGCGACAGCTGACTTCAGATGACTTGTGTTTCTGTTCTTCCTGACGAGTTTTTGCGCAGTTTCCTAAAGGTGTCCAGGGAGGGTTCGGGTGAAGAGCGACATGGTCTAGATTCCGTGTACTTGGGGCTCGCAACCTACCGAAAACCTGACACAAAGCCCAAAGCCCTGGGCTTTCAGGCATGTACCAAGGTTGACACGGGAGACGATGGAGGGTTCGTGGCTTCAAAGGAGTGTTGGCTTCCAGGGTGAAGTTCGACGGAATTGCCAAGAGGCAAGAAGAGGTCTTTCGAGATCTCAATGTCGCTGTGGACATCGTCGTCAGTGAACCTCGACTAAGGCTTGCCACGCCGGGCATACTGTGGCAAACTCTCTCAGCTAAATTCGCTAAATCCCAGTGAGCTCTAGAAGGATACCTTTATCTCTCCCTCTCTCTCTCTCTCTCTCTCTGTCTCTTCTTCCCGCTCCCTTTAGACTAAACCTCCATGAGCTGGCAGACGCATCATCGCACCGGCAGCCTGATTTGCCATCCCTGTCATCGGGAACTCTAGGGCCTTCGAGTTTAGGGTTTGTGGCCTGGGGTGTTAGGATTATCAGGCTTACCGTGTCCGGGGTAAAGCCTGGCCTGCCTCTTGGAGGCGTTGTGCTGCTTGGTAATGCAAAAAAGCAGACCTTGTCGGAATTTCAAGCCATGAGACAGGGCCGGAACTGATTTGATCTCGACTTGCGAGAAGTCGAAGGTTTTCCTTGGACGGCTTCGCGCTCAGGTTTCCATTTTTTACATTGTATATTACAATAATATATGTATATATATATATATATATATATATATATATGCATATATATATATATATATATGCATATATATATATATATATATATATTATGTATTATGTATGATATGTTGCCTCGGGGCCCTCTCCTCCACTCCCCTCCTACCTGAGCTCTAGAACGAGTTAGAAGCTCTTGAGTCTTGAGCGACTTAAAGGCAACCTCTGCACTACCTGGAAAGTACCGATAACCTAGGGGCAGCGTTACTTGTCAATTAAGGGGTCTCTTCAATTCGAATTTTGGAGGGCGAGTCCTGGCATGTTCTGTGTAACGGGTCTAGTGCTTTGAGCAACTTCGGTAGGTATACCAAACTGTACTTTACTATTTCACTACACCATGTTATTATGCCGAATCAAGGTCTCGAGGTTCTCGGAGTTTCGTTCGGGGGGGGGGGGTTGGCCCCTGATGAATTAGAACAGCCTTCCCGGATGTACTCATCCAGGGGCCTGAAAATTAGACTAAGTTTCTTGGGGTCAAGCTCGAGGACGTGGGGTTAGGGCGTTTTCGGGTTTCAGTGTTTGCGGGCTGATGGCACGCTGTGTTTGAGGCTCTGGGCATAGGGTTTGAGCTTTGGGATCCGGGTTGCTCCAGGGTTTAAGGCTTAAAGCGTCGCAAAACATCTGCGAAGCTTCTGGTCCATCTGGAGGAAGTCTCTGTGAGCAGCAGCAAACCTGAGCTCAAGAAACTTAGACTGCAATGAGCCGACTTAGGTAGCAATGACACCGAAAATGAACACTAATCAACATCGGCCGACAATCAAACATGAATTTTAGCCCCTTTAGAGACAAGTGCTTAACGCAGCTGAGGGTGTCGGGCTCAGAATCTTGTGCACAGTGTCTCTTACCATCGAAACGCAAAACTTGTGGGCGCATCTATGGCTGGGTACCAGTTGTGAGCAAAGTTAGATGTTGACCTTTGAGGTGCTGCACCGTGAGGTCACCGACAGGACCGATGTTACAAAAGATCACTGAAGGCCAGTCCGAAAGATAGAGTCCCTGGGGCTCAGAGAGTAGAGCTATTCCACCCTCAACGCCTACCTAAAGTTTCATGGAGCAGTACAGTAAAGCCCCTGTCTGATGGTTTGGGAGATCCGAAGCAAAAGTTGGTCGCCTGCCTGCTGCGCCCTGCTGCGTTCCGGTCCGAAAACCGGTAGTTAGGATGTTTTATGTATCATGACTGAGGCTCCTAAAACGAAACCACTAAAATATGAAACAAACCTGAACCGCAATTGAAACCAAAGCCTTTAAACCCCACAAGCTTTGCAGGTCAAGGGAACTTCTTCAGCAGTTCTCGCGTCAGCCGTGCGATCCGTATCGACTCTCGTGCATACCTGAAGTGAGATGCTGGTGTAGGGTTTGCAGGTTTTCGAGCAATTTTTGCCACGAAAGCACAGGAGTTTGGTTTCAGGGTTTAGGGCTTTGGGTTTGGGGTTTAGGGTGGGGTTTGGGTTGGGTCTAGGGGTTTGGGGTTTTGGGCCCGGGCAGAGTTCCGAGAGCTTTAGGATAGCCCCTAGACCCTAAACCTAAGCTTCAAACCCTAAAGCCTTCTGATTCGGGGATCAAGTGTTGGGGGCCTCGTGCTTTCTTGTGTGAAGCTTCCACTCAGGGCTGTTTATGGTCTAGGGTGATTTAGGCTCTTAGGGATGTTTAGAGTCTAGGGTGCTGAGGATTGGTTGGGTTTAGAATTTAGGTTGCGGGTTTGGGTTTGGGCTGTATGGCAGGCTCAAGGGGTTGGGGTTAGGACCTAAGATTTTCGCAAGGGGCTGGGCAGGAGTTCCCAGAAACCCTGATATGAAAACAACCGACACCAAACACTGCCAGAAGAAGCATAGCTAGGCCACATCAGGAGAGATCACGTTGGATACAAGGTTCAGGAACCGAGCTTTTTGCCTGAACACCCAACCCTGCAGGTTATGAGGTTCAGAGCTTTTGCGTTCAGGGCTGAGGCTCCGAAGCTCTGAAACAAAGGGGCATTTGATACGCTTTCAGGTGTGAGTCCCGTGACTCAAGAGGAGCACTGCTCCTTAGGATCCCACCTCTGGTCTCAACCCAAAACGCCCTAACCCCTCAATCTTGTGCGCGAGGACCTGCTAATTAAAGCCCAGGAGCTGCTCAGCCGTGACGGCCTCGTTCTCCTCGAAGAGAAGAGAAGAGAAGAGAAGAGAAGAGAAGAGAAGAGAAGAGAGGAGAGGAGAGGAGAGGAGAGGAGAGGAGAGGAGAGGAGAGGAGAGGAGAGGAGAGGAGAGAAGAGAAGAGAAGAGACGAGAAGAGAAGAGAGGAGAGGAGACGAGAGGAGAGGAGACGAGACGAGAGGAGAGGAGAGCAGAGCAGAGAAGAGAAGAGAAGAGAAGAGAAGAGAAGAGGAGAGAAGAGAAGAGAAGAGAAGAGAAGAGACGAGAAGAGAAGAGAGGAGAGGAGAGGAGACGAGAGGAGAGGAGACGAGACGAGACGAGAGGAGAGGAGAGAAGAGAAGAGAAGAGAAGAGAAGAGAAGAGAAGAGGTTTTGGAGTTTAGTGTTTAAGGCGTCTGAGCTTGAAGATCGTATGCTCGAAGATGTGTCATTGTGAGTTCCACAGAAGGATCCAGCGCTCTAAAATGGCCTGAGGTTGAGGCTGATGGACTCAACATTGAACATCGATGGGACAAATTAACATGAAGAATCCTTGATTTTTTTGCACTGTTTCACCTCAGGTGGTCGAAGGCCGGGGTCTCGACCTCGTCAACCTGCAACCTGTGATCCGACCCTGAACCCTCGGCCCTGAGCCCCTGAACGACAAACACGAAGCCTGAACCGTAAACCCTGTGAGTTTATATAGACCCGAGCCCTGAACCCTAGGAGGCAGGGGAGGGTGCCGGGATGTTTTGAGGTTCGGATCAGGTTTCAAGGCTAGGGATGGGTGTCCTTGGCAGCCTTCATGGTGATGTCCACCTTGGTGATAGGGGGCGTAGTCTCTCGGAGTTCGAAGGAAGAGGCGGCAGCTTAGCTCCTCGAGTTCTATCAGGTCAAGGGCAGGGTGGGGTTTAAGGCTCTCACAACTCTATGCATGGATCTTCCGGGATGACGAAGATGCGCGCCTGAGTTAGTTTTGCTTGCGTCTCATGCTTCGGCCCTCAAAATTTGCAACACGACATGACCCTCCTCGCTGCATAGAGCGACTACAACTTTGACTACAGCAGGGCCTTACTCTGTTGCGCAATTCGTGCAGAGGGATGACTAAGGATATCAGTGCTGCAAATGTTGTTGCTGCTCCTGTTGTTGCTGCCGTTGATAATTTGTGTTGTTGTTGTTGCCGCTGCTACTGCTGCTACTGCCGCCGCTGTTGTCGTACATACTACTGCCAGCCCTAAACCTGAAGTTTAAACTCGTAAACCCTTCGTCTCAGAACTTGTAACTGCAACTGGGGAATCGCATGCCGTAGCTTGTATGTGGGAGGGTTTAGGGCTTTTACCCTAAACCTTAAACCCTAAACCCTAAACCCCTAAACCCTAAACCCCTAAACCCTAAACCCCTAAAACCCCTAAACCCTAAACCCCTAAACCCTAAACCCCTAAACCCTAAACCCCTAAAACCCCTAAAACCCCTAAACCCTAAACCCCTAAACTGTTTAGGGGAGTTCGGGGTTCCCTTTCTGGGTGCTGCGTGCGCGGCGTAAACCGCCAAGATCACGTTGAAGATGCCCATGGTCACCTTCGCTAGGGTTCCTTAAAGGGATCTATAGGGTTCCTCAAAGGGATCTATAGGGTTTAGTTTACGGTTTAGGGTCTACGTGGAGGATCATGGGACTTAGCAAGTAAGGTCATAAGCACCTTGATTGGGGTTATAAGTAGCTATAAGAAAAGTCACCCTAATCATAACCTAGTTACTAAGTCCAATGATCCGTTAAGCAGGACATCGGGAGGCAGGGATCTCCCCGATCCTCCCCGTGAGAACCCAGCAGAATGACTAATACCATCACTATCAGCTTGCTACAAACTACGAAATCCGATAGAGTATTCAGTGTAGTAAGGAAGGGTGTAGGGTCTTAGGGTGGCGTATGGCATGAGCACTGAGGGTTTGTCCCGCAGAAAGCATCTACGAAAGCCCCATAGACCTGGCTACATCTAGTGCAAAAGGTTTAGGGGGGTTTAAGGTTCGGAGTTTAAGGCTTCTACGCTAGACTTGTCTCAATCCTCTACGGGTTACGATACGGGTTTCTGTAAGGGCTACTGTAAGAATTACAAAAAGGCGAGCCGAAGAGGCAGCGGACCCTACATTTCTGGGCCTATCAGCGGTCTGTGGACTTAGAGCTCATGTGGAGTTTAAGGGTTAGGGCTTCTTAGGTTTATAGGATTCCTTCAGGTTTGCAGCTTTGGTGGTTTTTGCTTTCCACGACGAATGCACAAGATTAGAGTGATTGGAGCCGCTTCAACTTCCCAGATTAATCTGAGATAGACTCGAAAAACTCGAGCCTTCGGGGGTTCACTGCACTCTCCTTTTGCCCAAAAACCACTGGCACGATAGCCACAAACCAAACCCGAAGCCGCCGAAGCCTCGACCTTAAATCCTAACCCTGTACCCAGGGTCACCAGCATGTAGCTTGCCACGAAGGGAAGAATGAAGGATACCTCGGGCCCAAACGCGTTTTGAGAGGCACTCAGCCAGCGGCCTAAGGGATGCGCATCGGCCCCATGATCTCTGAAATGAGGATCGACGGATCTAGGATTAGGGATGGCAGCTTGGGATGCAGTGAGGTTTCATGGCACATGGAATCCAGGGACATATACGACCCTACCAAGCGCTAAAGGGCAGGAACCCAAAAACCCTTAACCTTAAACCCTACACTAACATGAGGGCCCGGTCTTTCGGGTCCTCTCGGAATCTTGAAGCCTCTTGCCTCTCGCACTTTCGGGTAAACGCCTTGTAGGGGTAAAGAGCTCAGTCCGGAGTCCTTGGGCTGTGCAAGGCTTCAGATGTTTCGGACTGGGGCTCTCAGAGCCAGTATCCCCAGCCTTGCACATCCCCCAGTCGTAGTAGTAGTAGTAGTAGTAGTAGTAGTAGTAGTAGTAGTAGTAGTAGTAGTAGTAGTAGTAGTAGTAATAGTAATAGTCATAGTAATAGTCATAGTAATAGTAATAGTAATAGTAATAGTAATAGTAATAGTAATAGTAATAGTAATAGTAGTCCCCCCCTCCCCTCACCTTCCCTCCCTGAACTTTGGATGGCCAGCCTCCTGGGGGCGCTTAAGGCTGATTCTCTTGGGCCTCTCCCTCGTGGGTTCGGGCTGTCTCAAGCACAAGACCATGAACGCTGCGCTGGAACAAGTCCCGGAGCTTCAGACCTTGCAAAATCTCTGAATTCAGGAATGTACTTATAAGTAACTTATCAGTTCTAATAGGCTACTTAAAAATTCTAGTAGGATCCCCAATACTATTCAAGGTACGTTCCTTAATCAAGACATTATGGAAGGCATGGGTTCTTAAGCTGAGACAGAAGACGCCAAACTCCGCGCCCAGGATCGATGTGATCGAATGGCCTCGCCAAGCTTCACGGTTTAGGGTCTTGGGCTTGGGGTTTCGGGAATAAGGTCTACGGGTCGGGGTCAAGGGTGTAGGACTTTAAAGTGCGGGCTTGTGAAATTGCGGCTTAAAGCTTTGAAGGTTTGGTGCAAATGCAGGCACGTTGGCCATTTCGCATGCGGGCAACCTTGCGACAAACCTCGGAGAATCGATCACATGCTCGCCCTCAACGGTAAGCCTTGAAACTGTAAAGCCCAACTCTACAAACTACAAGCCCAACTCCCTAACTAAGGCCCGCCAACCTTCAACCATGAAGCCTTCAGCAAGTGACAAACACCTCGCCACGCCCCACCCTTCCTACTTCTGCCTAGCTTTGCTGTTGCTTCCTGCAAGAATAGAGTTGGGTCTCGGGGAGGGTTCTAAAGTACACTAGAGCTGCCCCAAGGAAAGTGCATAGACTCCTGTATGTTTGTTATCTGTTCGAAACGGACCACACTCATGAAGTCTTGGCTACTCCGTCAATCCCTGAGCCGATGTCCTGTTTCATTCACGCACTCGCCGGTGAAGCATCGGAATGCTGTGAACATGGCAGCCGGGATGGTGTCAAAGTAAACCTGCGCTTCCAAAGCCCAACAAGGCCCCAGCATTGAACACCCTAAGCCCTAACTTAACCCTGAACCTCGACAACCCTAAGCCTCAAACTCTTACACCCTAAAGCTTACAATCTTAGGCCCCCGAAGCCTGGACACGAGATCCCTAAAACCTGGAAGCTCTGAAAGCTTCTGCCGAGAAATTCACCTTCGGAGCCTGAGCTTAGGGTTTTGCCTTTTGAATTCAAGGATTAAGGCTAAGGTTTTTCGGTGAGGGATTTTAGGGTTTGGGGTTCAAGGAGTAGTAGGGCTTCGGGGCTTGGGTTTGGGGCTTAACCTTTAGGGTTCAACGGTGGGCATCCCCGGTTCTTCGGGTTGCAGCTTCGGACAGTGTGGGGTTTGGTCGATTCCCAGTGGGGGTCTTGAAGGACAGCCTAAACCCTGAAACGCAAACCTAAACCCTAAACTCTAAACCCCGAGTGTAAGTTGAACATCTTTTCTTACCTATCAGATGTTCATACTTTCGGTTCTGACCTGACACCTACCCCTCAAACAGCGCCCCCTAAACCATGAACCCAGCCAAAACCAAGAACCCTAAACCCCTAAACCCTAAACCACGAGACCGCAAGCCATGAACCCCTAACCGTGCCTGAAGCCCCACATCGGTGGTGAGCTGACTGCTGCCTTCCACGTGTGTCGAAAGAAACCCTAATCTCAAAATCTTTTTGTTTCACGATTTCGAGTTCGAGACAAGATAAACACAAGATGGCAGGTTCCACATTGTACGGATCATACGGACCCCTCATGCGTCAACCCCAAAACCTAAACCGAGAAAGCGCCACCCGCATTACGGTACCGTTCAGGGTCGAGGGCTAGAGTTTAGGACTCAGGGTTAGGAGTTAGGGGTGAGTGATGCGGGTTTGCCTCAAAGTTTCGGTGTATTCCAACTACACCCAAAATCTTGAATCCTCAAGCCATTCCCCCAAACTTAACCAGACCCTGGACGGCTAAACCCTTACTGGCCGAGAACTCACTTGGGGCTTCGACCCTAGCCCTCAACATTAGACCGCCGCAAACCCAACTTCCAAAACCCAACCTTTACAGCCCCCACGGAAGCCCTGATGTCCCAAAGCATCGAAAAGGGCGCTCAGGGTGTCGGCTAAGGCTTGAGGCCTAATGTCTGGAATTTGGAGCTTAACTGTTTAACCTCGAACACCATGAAACACCGCCAACAAAATCCTTATAATGAAGGGCCAGCAAAAGCAAGTGAAACCTTTGTTCAAGCCTCAACCCTGCGCCTTCCCCCAAAGACCGATGACCCGATCCTCAAAGCTCCCATTCAAACACCCCCCCCCCTCCAAAGAAAAAACTACTTAGGGTTCAGGGCTTTGGGTTTGGGTAAGATAAAAATCATTAAGTCTGAGGCTGCTAGAAGGGCTCCATGAGGAAGACTAATAAGGCTTATACAACAAGGGCTACAGTAAGGAAGCTGCATTCCGGACGACAGAGTTTACAAACCCAAACGCGAAGCTAAGGCCTTACCACAGGTTTAGGGTTTGGGGCAGATCTTGGCCCTGGCAGTCCAGCCCCTAAACTCTTTCAGCAGTAACACTCAACCATAGACCTGCACCACCATGAGTCTATCAGGTTTCCCAAAACCCGAAACACGCTGCGCCCGTGCCTATCGTCATCGTCGCAAAGCCTGAGATCACATAGAGAACCACGAAGAGCCTGGGCTACCCTCTTTTAGCGGTTTAAAGTGATTCTAAGCATTTACTACAAGCGTCCTGCAAGGTTGTTATTCGTAAGGTTATTGTAAGGAAGGTTAGTACAACGGCTACTCTTCTTGTCAGGGTCTTCTGGGCCGTTTGGGTAAGTGATTGGGTCACGGGCGGCTTGGGTTCAAAGGCTTTGGGTCGATGGCTTTCACCTGACTTGGGGGATGGAGTCTAGGGTTTAGGGTTCGGGGTTTTGGGGTAGGGTGCATTTGCATTTGACACTTGTTTTTGTGTTCAGCGCAGCATTTCGGTTGTGGTGCTTAGGGCCTGAGGGCCTTGCTGGAAGAAAAAAACTCGACCTGAAACTTCAGTGCACGCCGACATGGATCCCACGCTCTGCCAGCATCCCTGGCTCAACCGTCGAACTCAAACAACTGCCGGGGACACAAGCTGAAGCTTTTCGGCCAACCTGACTCGGATCGGAACCCAAGGTCTGAATGCAAAACCCGATATCCCAAACGCTGAGCTCTTCAACCCAAAGCCAACCCCTGAGAGGATCATGAACACTAACTTAGCACAACCCCGACGACACTGTGAACACTGAAATCCACCCTGTCGCGCCAAAATCGATCCAGACGCCTGGACCCTAAACCCAAAACCCCAAAGCCTAGAACCCTTCCGGTTGCTGACTCCAGGAACAGTGTGAAAGCCAAGGCAAGGGTGCGAATTCCCGCAATCCTTCGCACTTCGCTCTTCGGAGGGCGCCGGTTGGGTCTTTGTCTAAAGGCCCCTCGGCTTTAAATGTAGGACTTTCGAGCGAGTGGGGTTTACAGCTTAAGCGCCCTTGGCTTCAGTAATTTAGGGCGACTAATCCTCCGGGAATTTGGATGTACTATGTTCGGGCGATTGAGATTTAGAGTTGCAAGCCACTTGGCTCTCGGATTTGTGGGTGATGGTAGTTTTGGGGTGGGGTGGGGGGGGGGTTACGGGGGCATAGGGGCTTAGGGTACGAAGTTTAGGAGGGCTCGGATACGACTTTTGACTTGCAGGCTTCAGGACCAAGAACCTCAAGGATTCATGGTTAGGTAGCACCGGCCAACTACTCCTCGTTAGAGCCTAGTTGCCCACTGTTAAGGACTATGAGGCCTCCATTCAAGGGTACTTACTTTGGGGGATGCTGGAGGGTTTCGTGCTTGGGGTTTAGGGTGCCCTTTAGGGTGCGGGATTTAGGGCTCGCGGGTCTGAGGTGTACAACTTTAGGGCTCAGGGCGACACCGGCCGGGCTTGAAACACAAAGTGCGGGACTCTATGCAGACGCAATCGCACGCACTCAGAGACAGAGCTGTGCTAGGGTTTGGGGAAATGGGGTTTTAAGGCTTGGCATTGAAAAGGGCGGCTGGGTTTAGGATTGTGAGGCTCTTGCAGATGCAGGGGGCCTTAGCGCATGAGGTCCAGCACTTAAGGGGCTTCTTCGGGTGCTAAGGCGTCTTTACTCGGAACTCTGGGTCCTCTGCAACTTGCCCCAAAACACGGTCAACCCTACAAGACTGAGCCTGAACCCGCCAAAAAACCAAACAACCCCAAGCCCCCCAGGGCTCTCGTCCTAGACCCTGGAACTCAAGATTCGTAGATTCGTGAGGCTATTGCTCTTGCTTCTCCCTCTCTACGGCTCCAGTAGTATAATCTTAAGCCACTATAAACCTAAACACCTGAAGCCTACACCCCTAAACCTAACACCCCCCCATCCCCAACCCCTAACATCCTCTAACAGCCGTATAGCAACCTTTCCAGAACTCTCCAGTGGCCCTAATATACTAACCCTGAAGAGTCCTAAACCCCAAGACCCCCCCATCTGTCAAGGTACCAGCCCTTCACCATCAGGCGCAGATCTTTCATGAACTTCAGTCGGAAGACCTCGAAGGTAGGCTTTGTCATTCCCTAAACCCTAAACTATAGGGCCTATAGGGGTTACAATTCAGAAGCTTCTGCCTCGGAGTGTGACTGGTACCTCTGCTTAGAGCGGCCCCAATGGCCGACCCTACGAAACCTCAGCAAAGTTCTTTCGAAACCCTACCAGTAGTTCAAACTCTGCTTGTATCCATGAACTCTCAAGCAGGGTTTGTGAATTCCGGCGCGGTGATTTGCGACAAGGTTTCGCGCCTTAGTTTGTGTTGGAAGGGGTGGGGCCAAACTACTAGCTAGAACATCTACACTGTCAACCCCAACCCTAGCCCCTAAACCGTCTAGACCTTCTAGGCACTGCGAGCCCCATCTGACAGCCTCCGCCAAGATGTGACTACGCAAACTCAGCTTCGAACCTTCCACGACATGGAAACCAGAAGTCCTCGGGCACAACTACACTACACCTCGGAACATGCAGGTCGGGAACCACTAAGGCTGAAATCAGTGTGGACAAGATCCCCGACCCAGAACTCGGGCAGGCCTTCACAATTCTTGCGAGACGGATGAGCCGGCAGAAGCGAAGCAGTGAGGTACCTGAGAACATCTGAGAACCCTAGACTTTCAGGCTTTGGGCTTTCGATCACGTCGCGGATGGGCTCCGGAGCTTTAGGCTTGGGGACTGGGCGTGAAAAGCCCATGGGTTGTAGAACTCGAGGTTGCGGATTCCTGGCAAATAGGCTTCCCTCACACCCCAGCCTGACAACACAGATAACGCTATTCAGTGTATATGCCACACTGCATGCGCTGTTCCTCCTCCTGTTTGATGGGTGTTGGAAACATGGGCTCAGGGCACTTGATTCGTATTGCAATGACACGGCAGGGCCCAAACCGACGTACTTGAATCAGACATGACCCTAGACTTGGAACGTTCAAACGCCCTTTAGGTTTGCATTATAGAACCCGGCGCAACGGACCACAACTTCTGAACTTGCTTACGGCACTGGGCTATGCGGGTGGCGGCTTCTATTTTCAGAACTCTGAAACCTACAAGCCCCTGCGCAGAAAAACACAAAAACAACAGTCCTATACGGAAAACTACAACCCGAATGATGGCGAGACCCCTCTCAACCGCAAAAGGTTTACCATAAAGGATCTGTGATCTGTCTATGAGGATTCAATAAACAACCCCGTTGTGCCGTGGGTGTGGAGATTTCAACTGGAGAAGTGAACCAGGGCATCGCTAACAGACCTAAGCCCGTCATAAGACCCCAAGATTTGAAAGACATTCCTCTTGGATCCCTGTGTTCTAGACCTCGCCAAGGCTCCGAACATGTCGGAATCTGTCTGCGTCACCCACTGCAGAGCCACATCCGTGATGCCACTCAAGGCCTAGTGAACTCTTCTGAAGGTCTGGGTTTCGGGGCTTGGGTGCAGGGTTGAGATTACAGCGCTCGGCTCCTCCCATGCATGTGAGCTGCTGGGAACATCGGATAATCGTCTATCCACCGATCAGGATTTCGAAATGCGAATCCGGTGGAACCACAGCCCCACAAACCAACAGTGTACGACTCCCGGGGTGCATTGCTCAATGCAACCCTCGCCACCTACGGAGAACCTCTGGAAGTCCGCCCTTGCGCACGGGGGGGGTTGTTTCAATTCGCTGTCACTCTTCAGAATCATCCTTATCATGGGTTCCTCCCAAACAAATCCTAAGATCTCACACCCCCCCCTTTATTTCCTCCTCCATCTATCAAAATTCCAAACCCTAAACCTGTTCTGTGTAAGGCTCGAAGTCTGCCAGTCCAATTCTTTGGGACACGACGCGACTTTCGAATCTACGGCCTCACAACACTTTCAGGTCCCGGTTCAGAGCAAGGAGCAGGATTTGGGGCATGCCGCATTTTTGCTTTGCGGTTACGGTGTGCCTAGAGAACTATCGAAATCCAGTCCAGACCGTAAGACCTGACGGACACTTGAATCCCGAAGCCGCTCAAGGGATTAAGGATGCTCACGGATGAGGGGATTTGGGGTTTAAGGATGTTTAGGGTGTAGGGCCACTCAGTGCAAGGAAGAGGCCAGAAAAATGTCGAACCAGTTCCAAATACGCTCATCGCCAGCCCAGTACCCGCGACAGCGGAGCAAATGCATGCCTTTGCTCTTGCAGCGCTGGCAAAATTAGCGGTTTTGACAAGGTTGATGCAGGGTTCTGCAAACTGTTTTTCTGATCAGCCTAATGCACCGAAGCATAAGCGCAAACGCAAACCCGAAGAAAAAAAAGTACAGACCCCAAGCTCTAAAAAAACTCGAAGTGCCTGTCCGAAATCATAAGCCCGAAAACCTTAAACCCAAAATCCTGAATCCTTAAATCCTACATCCTCAAGACTGAACCCTTAAACCGAAACCATGAAACCTAAAACCAATGAAAGCATATTTCCGTAGCCCTAAAGCCCCAAAGCCCCACCACCAACCCTAAACCCTCAAACCCCTAAACTCCTAAACCCTGAATCCTTAACACCCTACAACCCTCAAACCCCTAAAGTCCTAAAACCCTAAAACCCGTTCTAAACTCCCAAACCCCAAAAGCGATCTACTCCGAAGCGACCTAGGCCTCCGAAGCCAGGAGTCGAAGTCCGATCTCGATGAGCAGGATGACAGCGAAGGTCGTCTCCTAGGGCTTAGTGAGGGCTTTGGGGTTTGGGACTTTGGGGGTTTTGCGGGTTTGGGGGTTTTGGCGTTTAGGGAATTGGGCTTTGGGGTGTTGCTCGCAGCTTGGGATCTATTTTAAGATCGTTTTTTTGGTTTGGGGTGTGGGGTTATTTCGGGGCTGAGGGTCTCGCTGGGTTTCGCGGCTTGAACTTGAGGGGCTCGAAGTTTTGAATGCTGCACGGTTTAAGGTTTTAAGGTTACCTTAACCCACCGCAACCTATGCGTTTGTAGGGTGCTAGTATAAGCCCGAAAAAGGAACTAAAGGGGTTTACGGTTGAGGGTTGAAGGGCTTAGGGTACCTTGCCCGGTTGCTGCAGGGAATTATCGATCAAACTCGGCAAATTTCTCGACAGCTTCCTAGCATAAGAGGACTAAGACAGACTTTTTGGATTTAGGCACCTGCACAGCCCCTCCAACGAAGAGGCCTGCTACCCTTGATGCAGAACGACAAGCCCGACATATCCTAGCTTCTAAAGGCACCACTGGTGCGGATCAATGAAAGCACATCCACCGGACCTTCTGATGTACTCGCCCGAACATCTGCCAAGTCAGTTAACCGCACACTTGAACCCCATGCCTTCTTGCAGCCCTAAGCAGGAAAATCAGGGCTGCAGGCAACCAATGAACTGACCTAACCATGTTGCAAGATGCTCATCCTCTGAACTTCTTATTGCCACCAGGGCACGATGTAGGTCCATCCGCTCCAATCTTCATACAGCGGATCCGTCTGAAAGCCTATCCTTGCACACTCTGAGGTGGCTGAAGGTTGTTGGAGGCTTGGGGCCTGCGGAAAGGCGACAAAAGAAACACCGCTGCAAGGACTGCCCTGCAGCTCGCCCACAAGCCCTAAACTCTGGAAGCGGAGACTTAGAGTTGAAGCAATCAGACTAGGGTTTGGGGCGTATTATAGCACTACGCAGCCCAAAGGAGTAATATCGGCAATTATTGCGGCTCCTATATTTATATTACATGCCAGAAGACCGGCAAAGCGCTCGCAAATCGTGCCAGCTCCTGTTTTGGACCCAAAATGCGATGCCCCGAACTGAAACGGAGAGCCTAAAGTTTAAACCACTCGAGCGAACTTGAACTCTGTATCCATATGCACTTGGCTCTGTGGTCTACGGTTCAGGATCGGGTTCGGGTATGAGCCGTGGGACATGATCCCATTGGCGACGATGAGAACGCCCACAAACGGCTCGATGTACCTCATAGCTGAAATGTGTGTGTTTTTTCGCGGAAATCTTCGCCGTGAACCCATGCTAAACCTAAAGCCCCGAACCCTTCAACCGAACCTGCGCCGCCATGTTCCCGTTCAACTTGTGGCCCTTCCTTGGCCTACTAACTAAGCCCTTTGAACGCCGAAGCCCTCGCACTCGAAACCCCGCAACCTCTAACCGCATATGCCCCACAATCTTCCCGCGATGTTGCCCTCTGTGCTCTCTTGCGTGAGCAGCATGGCTCTGATCCTTAAAGCGCGGGAAACCCCAAACCCTAAACCCTCTGAACACTTTAGCGTTTTTGGGTTCAGGGTTTGAGCCCCACGGTTGGACCCTAAAGCCCGTACGCTGCCCGAAGCTGCGTTTCGTGCTCCGAAAAAAGTTCATATAAGGATCCCTTCAACAGGGTCTTATGGGGGTTCGAACCCTAAGCGTACATCTAAAACCGAGGAAGCTGAACCAGCGACCTTCGGCCCAAAACGTAAAACCTCGCGGTGTTTGAGAGGGACGCAGAGGGCAAGGCCACCACAGTTATCCACAGTTTCCGCGTTGCATCGTTCCTGGGTGTCACCATGCTGAAGCCACCCGGCAACCCAAAAGCAGTATTTGGGACCATCACTGGCCTGTCGAATCCTCAGAGCAGGGACTCTGGTGATCCACGGTTTCTCACTTGTGGCCGGCTGGCGGCCACTGCACTATGAGCAGTCCCAAGGGCCTGCTTGACCAGAAAGTGCCTTCGTTTGGCGAAGTGAAGGCCAAGCTGCTGCTCAGCTTCGCATGCACAAACCTTCAAAAAATCCTGAAACCTCGAAACCCAAAGCATAGACCCCAAAACCCCTAAACCCGGAACCCCAAAACCCGCGACACTCTTAATAATCCCAAAGCGTCCCTAAACCCTAAAGCCCTAAAGCCTGCCCACCAGCCCTCTCCTTGTGTGGGTAAGTAAGCGCCGGGTCGCCAAGCTTGGCACCAAGCTTTGTGCCCCTTACTCATGGTATAACCCTAGAGTCTGTCCGTTGTTTCCGTGAGGGCCTAACCTCTCTTTTTGTGTGTACCTGCTCGAAACCATCCGGGGTGTCACTAGGGTGCCACCCCAGTAAGGTTCTTTGCGGGCCCACAGGCCCCACCATGGGTCCCCACGAGGACATGCTTTAGGGCCACTTTTGTTGGATGTTCGGGTGGCTCGGCTTGGCTCTGGCCGGCTTTGGCTTGCCTTGCTGTGCGTAGTGCATGGTTGATCTTGGGGTGGGCATGTCTATACACTAGTGCGCTCTAACCAGCGCGCGACCTGTCGAGCACACCCTAAACTCCGAAACCCCTAAACTCTGAACCGCTTTTCCCAAGGTCCCCGCAGCAGCGGGTGGGTCGGATCTGGTGGCGCAGCGAGGTCGTTGATTCTTACAAATGTGAGCTCAGCCACCAAGCCTTAGCGCTTCGGGGTTCTGTGCAGAATTTTTGGTCGGGTTTGCGGTTTAGGATTTCCGGGCTCTGTGGGGCTACTCTGAGGATTACTATCAGACGCCCAAGCGTTAAGGCTTAAGATGTCGGGCTTCCGGGGATTCCACGAGGTTCCGGCTGGAGTTACTACACGGGTCATAGATAATCTCCCACAAGGGCTGTGGGGGCTTCCATTACAAGGCCGATCGTTTAGTGATTTCGGTCTTACAAGGTGTTGGGGTTCGGGCTCACGGTCCTGCGGTGGAGGATTCATGATTAACTGATGTCTCTTGGCCCGCCTAAGGGCGTCGGTTTCGGGCTTAGGCTCTTGAGCGCTGATGATGCAGGCTATGGGATTCTGCTATAAGGGCTCCATAAGGGCATATTACGTAAGGGTCCTATCAAGGTTTCAGGGTAAAACCGGCTTTCGGGATATTGCCTTCAGGTCCATCGACTGAACCATGAGGACGAAGACCAGAAGCCCAAATTGAACAATATACCCCAGCATCCGAACAGCCAAAACCCTCAACCCTTGACCGAAGCCCAGGCGACAGTTGCACAAAACTTTAACTTCCAATGTACGATCATAAACTAAAGTATCAAAGCCACAATACACCAGAATCTTCTACCATATGATAATACATCATAAAATACTACGATATATACTATGAGAAACCATAACATACTACAATATAATACAATTTAATCATATTATAACATACTCCCATATACTATTGTTAATCTTCTACCATATACTATAATATAATATAGTATACCATAAAACCCCATCATATTTACACCTTCGGCAAGCAACGGTTCGTATCCCCTGCAAGAAGGATCTCCTGTCCCGGCTCGGCTGCAGCAGGAGCTTTAGGCTTGAGAGTCACAGCTTTTGGGGGGATAGGGGATTGGGTGTAGGAGTACTTGGAAGAGTTATGAATGTTGTGAGAGTTTGAAGGCGTTGGGGTTTAAGCTTTAAGGGTGCAGGGGTCTTGGTTACGAGGGTTCTGGGGTTTGAGGCTAGGGTTTTGGTTGAGAGCAGCTGCCACCCAACGTTGTGTGGGATTCTCTTCGGCTACACGCACTACAACAAGGCGATCTTTTCGGGCCAAGGATGCAAATGGAAAACCCTGGTTTCGGAACCTTATGAAATCAAGTTCTGATCACGGGGCTCTCTCTAGAATATAGGATTCCAGAAATAACAAGCCAAATCTTACGCCTACACCCATGGCACGGAAGCAAAATAACATGTACTTCTCATTTAACCCTCACTGTACCTGTGACAATGTGCGGTACCTGAACAAACGGATTGCTTGCAACCTGACAAGTAGCAGCAGCAGCAGCAGGACAAGTGCACAAAGGTTGGGCGAGGGTTCTGTGTATGCGCCGGCCATATCCCATCCTACCTCACCCCAAACAACCCACCCCCCACTGTACCTGCAGTGCACACTTGAAACCATGGGGCATGGGCGGACACTTTTGGCTGCAAAGTCTTCCACTGTTGAGGAAGGGGGCCACATGCCCCCGCCCCGTCCGTTCCTGTCAAAGAGATTTCCGCCCACTGCAGAGCCGCAGCCACGCCAATGCCGTGAGCCCAGCCCAGACTCCAAACCAAAGCAGGCATGGGCAGACGAGACTGCAATACTTCAGCCCATCTGAATCGGGCCCTAAGCCTTAAGCGACCCAGCTCAAGCAGTGAACGCCAGTCCCAGTGGCACTGGCACTGGTTAGAAGCACACAGCTGGCTCCAAATCGCTGGCGCGAAGTGCTGTCCTCGAGAAAGAGCGCCCCCCCCAACCATCCACACTCCAGCATTGTGCGACACGCGCAAGTTAACACGCTCCCGCATGCAGAACATTGCAGATGCTTGGAGCACGAAATGCCTCACAGACAATCCTCTGTTGGTGCTGCACACTACACCCAGGCTGTCACACTGCTGCCGCAGGCAGATACGTCTCAAAGATGCTGGCATCCAACAATACGAGTTGTGCCAAGGCATCTAGCGGAATCTAGCGCACAGATGCAAAATTGTAAAGATGGCACCTGCTTGCCATCATTGTCTTGACAGAACCATGCTGGGAGATCGGAGCGCTTCAGACGGAATGAAAAAAAGACTGAATATTGATCAGATCGAGGTCGCAGCCAGGAGGAAGCCACCAGCCTCCCAACCCTGCACCGTCACCTTCGGCAAACGCATCCGCCGCAGCCACCACCCCGCGCGCTTCCTCCTCCACGAGGTGCACAGGTGCACTGGCACCGCAGAACTACCGCCTCTCCCAGCAAGTCGGCTTCAAAGCGTCAGCTTTCCAACCTGGGTGGCGGGCGTCAGACTGCCAAGCCTTCGCAACAGGGAATGCTGTCTCTGGATCGAGAGAAAGTGTTCCAACCGGGCCTGTCGCTTCAAGCACGAATGTGCTTTGTGCGGTGTCAGATCCGATCATGCTGCGGTGTGCTCCAAGCAGGCGCCGCTGATGACTGGAGACGCAGAGTTCCTGAAGTGTTGGCCTGGGTCAGCAGCGAGCAGGTCTATGGGTTGCTTGGTGATTGCAGCGGGGTGGTTTCGGACGTGGATTGGTATTTCCCTCGGGCGCCTGATAGCTTGAAGAAGCTGCGTCGCATGTGGCTCCAGCGTATTGATGAATATGATTTGGTTCCGCGTCCGGCTCGGGCTATATCTTAAGGAGAGTGTGAGGCCATGCTGAGCGAGTGGGAAATCACAGTGCTGCGTGGCGACTTGATTTCCTTCCTGAGTGAGCATGGGGTTTGCCGCACCCACCGGATTGTCCATGTCAGCCTCTTGCACTTGAGTTGAGGGGTGGTCTGTTTAGTTTGCCGCTGGATTTGGATGCGGATCTGCCTCGTCTACTGGATCAAGGAGTTCCCAGCGGTATCGTGCACACGATCCCGCCGTCGCGGTGTTCGGCAGGGCCTGACCTTGAACTCCTTGTTTGCGATTCTCCTTGGGGCTCTGGGCTGCCCGAAGCGAAAGCGAAATTTGGGGCCCGCTGTGCTGCGGGACGTCTGGCCATGTTCATAAGGAAGGCTCGCCACCACGCTGGATAGGTGACTCCACCATTAGCAACGCCAATCTGCTCAGTCGGGTCTCCGCGAAGATCGAACTTCCCACCCTAGAAGACGTTGCGGAGTTTATTTCGTGTCATCCTTTGGTGTAGGGCACACAAGCGTTCAAAGGTGCACCCGTCGGAGCAGGTGTTCTCCATCTGTGCGGCGTGCTTCTTGCACATTGTCGACAGCGCCCTCGGAGCATCTCCGAGCCTTTGTCACTGGGGAATGTCGATGTCGGGCTTCAAGCTTTCGGTGATTCCCCGGCACAACCTGAAGCCACCAAGGACACCAAAGATGGAGTGAAACGCTCTGCTTATCAGAAACCGCTCCCCTCTCCTCTCCTCAATCCGGAGAAGGCTGCAGATCTCTCCTTCTCTACCGCTGCCTTGACAACCTTGGGCCACTCAACGAGCACATGGCGCAGCATGTCTCTGTCCACCACCACATGGGAGAGAACGTCATCTAACGAGTGGCCCGAGAAACACAGCTGAAAAACTTCATCCAGCACTGCACGATCAGCCATCTCCGCCTCATGCGCAGTCGTGCACGAAACATGTCCGAATGCTTGCGCACATGCAACGAAAGGAACTTCTTGACATACACCACCCAACTGCATAAATGGCACGCACCAACCATGGCAAATGCGTGAGAGCGCGTTTCGAGAAGGTGCTGCACCCGCAACGCAGCACCTGCAATCTCGACTTTTCAGCAAACGAAGCTGTGAAAATGTGCGGTAACCCAGAACGCTGCAAGCTGCAACCTGACAAGTAGAAGGACAAGTGCACAAAGGTTGGGCGAGGGTTCTGTGTTTGCGGAGGCCATATCCCATCCAACCCCACCGCAGACAAACCAAATATACATGTAATGTAGGTGTATGCATACATGCATCTACATAGATATAGGCATGGTGATATAGCGATATAAGGACATAGTGGCAGCGAGAAATAGCGACATAGTGGCATAGCGGCACGTACACGTACACATGCACCTACACCTACACACCACACCTACGCCTACACCTACACCTGCTTCTACACCTACATACATACATTCATTCATTCAATACATGAACAAACATACTAACCAGAAGCCGAAGAAGCAGGGCATAGGGCTTTTAAGGTTTAGGGCTTGGGGTGTGAGGCTTCGGCTTTTGTTGCTTATCACGTTCAGGACCCTAGCGCCTGGCCATGAGCCTTTTGGAACCGAAAAAGGGGGCCATAAGAATTCGAAGCTGGCTTTGGGGGAATAAGGTGTAGTAGTTTTCTATAATAAACCACTGTTTTCATGACAGTACACGATCCTCTTCTACAAAAACTTAAAGAGAGAACGCTAAGCTAGGATTGGTGAATTGCTATTGAAACCTGATAAATGTTCAAAAGCCCCGTGCTGATGTGAAAGGGCCTTGTGCTTAGGTCTTAAGGTTGAAGGCTTGTGGTTCAGGGTTTGGGAAGAGGGTTTTCGAGGAGGGGCATAAACTCAAGCCAGTGGACCTCGGAGAGTCTACATGAAAGCCAATACCTAAAGGCCAAAACTTTAGAGCTGAAGATCCTGGCTCTGGGTTTGTTATACAAATATATATATATATATGTATATGTATATGTATATGTATATGTATATGTATATGTATATGTATATGTATATGTATGTATGTATGTATATGTGTATATATATATATATATATATATACATATACATATATATATATATATATATATATATATCACTACACTACACCCTAAACATCAGAGTCTGAAGACCGGCAGTGTTTCCGATCCGGCTGATGCAACCTAAGGTCTGAACCCCAGATAATAAATTCACCGAACATGGATAGCTTCAGGGTTTAAGGTATAGAGTTTCAGGGCGTAGGGGTTTCGGGTATAGAGTTTAAGGGTATAGAGTTTAGGGTGCGGGTTAACGGTTTAGTCAGCAACAGGCACTGGGCCAAATAAGTCTTCCACCCTGCAACACCCCAGACTGTAAACCCGACACCTCGAACCCGCAATCCGGATCCTTAAACCAGAGGCGAGATGCGAGCAACTAGGCCCCTCCACACTGCGAAAACGATTGAAACCCTGAAGCCTTTAAGGCCCGAAGCACATCAAAGCTCAAGCGCCCAAACCCAAACTCAATCCCCAAAGCCCAGATCAATGAAGCGACGGCTCGTCTACAGGAACCCGTAGAAAATGCAGGACCCAATATAAACCCCTTCTACCTGTAAAGGCTGAAGAGTTCCTATCAAGTCGATCCTTCATGGCATGGAACTGCGTCATCAGCTGCGGCCCAAAGACCTGCCTGTGGATTCCACCTGCCCGATGTCCACGAGGGATTGAAGCTCTAGGGTTTAGGGTTTAGGGGTTTAGGGTTTAGGGTTTAGGGTTTCCTTCAATTCAACGCCAAGACGCAGACCACAACAAACCACGCAGAGAACTTGCACCTACAGTCTGACTTACTCAGTCGTCACCATTGATGGTCGCAGTCGGGGTAGCCTTTTTGAACCCTCTCGTAATCCTCGTTGTCCACCCCGCTCCAAATTATTAATGGCTTTTCGGGCTCCACCATGGTCTCAAATTCGTCATCCGCACTGGTTGTAGTTGTATTGCGGGTTGTGGTTGCCATAGCAGCCATCACCAGTATCGGTGTACAGCAATGCCATCAGTGTCGACACTACTGCTCAGCTTCAACACTACCATGCCATCACCATCAGACACTATCAATTCCTTGCTACCATCTCAACATCAAAATCATACATGCGCTGTGCACATTCCGCACCCCGGGTACGGGAGATATGTGCTCACAACGACCGGCAAAAGCTGGGTCCAGGTCAGGTGGCAGATGAGTGATGACACAGCATGAGTACTGCGGTGACGAGAGCAAACAGGTCGCCGAACACGTCCGATGATCAGAAGCACCACCGCAAACCGAATTCCGTTCGCACGGTCTTTGCTGCTATCATGGTTGCCTGTGAGTTCTGATACTACAAATGCTGGTCGCAGCAGCCGGCAGTTGTGGCAAAAGCACCACCGGCAGCAATTGCTGGTGCTGCTTTTGTTGTGGGTGGTCGTTCTGACGTTGCGGCAGTCGTTGCATCTGCAACAGCAGCGGCAGCGTCGTGTGGTCTTGCTGGCTTGAGATGGGATCCACTTTGATGCTTCCGCAGCTTTTGCATCCCCCCCCCCGCCCCACACTCTAAACCCTCGGCTGCCTTCTTCGGAGAGGAAGAGCTCCATCAGCGCTTGAGCAGGGACCACATTGTAGGTGGACTGCAAGCTCGCACGACATGATGAATACATGGTTACACACCTGCTGAGTTTCCCTTCACCGTAATGACAATAATCAACGTAGTAACCCGGTACTGAAGATACTAATAACCCTGATACTTGTGATCATTAGTTTGCATTACAGTAGTAAGAATAGTAATGAGAATACGAAGAATCAACAAGAATAGTATTCACAGTAATGACTATAAGAGTAGCAAACATTGCTTTTCGAAGGTTCAGGGCTTTGGGTTTAGTGTCGAGGGCTGCGGGTTTAGGGTTTGGGAACGAGAGTTAAGGGTATAGGGTTTTGGAAGACATGATAATTTCGGGCTTTTGATTAGGATCTAGGACTGGGATTGGTGCCCATGGTGAAAACTTGTCGTAGGCTTTCTTGGCAACTGCAATTCGCCAGCTGTAAACTGTCTGAATATGTACAACGTAGCCGCAGCTAATGATTGGCTGTCGTCGTCCGAGGTGCGAGAAAAGCTACAAAACAACTGCACCAGATCGCCCCTCGGAGCTGCTCGCAATCTTGCCAACTGGGTAGAAGGTTTCTTCCTCATGTTTCTACGTCTGCTTCAATGCTGAAGTGGTATTGATGCTCCGTATGGAACTGTTAGCGCTACTACTAGGACAGCGAGAACCAACCAAACATCGGCAGCAACAGCACAAGAGGAATGACAGCAGTTCACCCTTACCACTGACGGTCCGCGACTACCCTACTGCCACCAACTAAGCCTATGGGCAGAGATCCCTCAATCGTGAAGTCCTAAAGTCCTAAACATCCCAAACCCTGCACTCTAAACGCTCTAACCCTAAAGCCTACGCTCTAAACGTGGGAAACCTACATCAGCGCCTAGCCTTGCGAGTCGTCATGTCCACCAGAGTGTGCACAGACACGGAAATGCGCCGGATGGACTGGCGGACCGACTCCTAAGGGTTTAGGGTTTGGGGTTCAGTTGCTTAGGATAAACGGAATCGTACGAAGATCGAACTGCCATAAATACCTAACTGCCATGTGCTGAAACTTGTCTCAATACCAACTTGTCCCACGGACATCTCTATTCTCTACTGCGGTTTTCCTCCCGCGGGAATCCCCGAAAACATCCTAAACCACAAGCTTAAAAGCGTTAATCCCTAGCCCCTAAACTCTTCGCGAAGATAACCCGAAGCCGCACTGGCCAGCAGGTCCTTCTTCTGGGGCCAAGCCCACACCGGAGTCCCGTACTTCACAAACTCCTGAGCTGCACGAAGGCCGTCGAGGGTGGGAGGCGAACATGTGTATGTGTATGTATGTATGTATGTATGTATGTATGTACGTATGTACGTCTGTATGTAGGCATGCAGGTATGCAGGTATGTAGGTAGGTAGGTAGGTAGGTAGGTGTGTGTATATATATATACATGTGTTTCGTATACGCTGCGTGCATATATGTATATATGTATATATGGATGAGCATTATATATATACATATATATATATGTATATACAGAGAGAAAGAGGGGATTTTGAATGCTAAGAACAAAGTATAAGAATCATGATAGTAGCACTAAAAGAGATTGTAGTACTCATGATCATAACCGAAATAACGATCCTGCTTTGCTGTCCACTAGAAGCTGCTATCGAAAAAGCAACCTCCAGGCTTGCAGTCCACCGTGCGTGCACTTTTTTGATAAGCCATTTTTTCGAACTCTCTGCAGGTTTCTGCGGTGTCAAAAGTCTGGTTTTCTGCGTTCAGCGACTCTGCTTTGCTGTCCATTAGAAGCTGCTATCGAAAAAAGCAAGCTCCAGGCTTGCAGTGCGCCGTATGTGCACTGTTTTGATAAGCAACTTTTTTTCGCACTATCGGCAGGTTTCTGCGATGTCAAAAGCTTAGCTTACTGCGTTCAGCGACTCTGCTTTGCTGTCCAGTAAGAACTGCTATCGAAAAAGCAAGATCCAGGCTTGCATTGCACCCTATGTGCGTTTTCTTCATAAACCATTTTTTTCGAACTCTCTGCAAGTTTCTGCGGTGTGAAAAATCAGGTTTTCTGCGTTCAGCGATCCTGCCTTGCAGTCCATTAGGAACTTCTATCGAAAAAGCACGCTCCAGGCTTGAAGTGCCCCGTATGTGCACATTTTTGATAAGCCATTTTTTCGAACTTTCTGCATACATGTCTGGGCATCAGCGTTCCTAGGGGGTTTGCAGACATAGCGCCAAGTATTCAACATGACTCGCAAATACCGGTTCCCTGAAGCAACAACGCGATTGGCACAAGTTTCGGGAAGCGGGACAAGAAACAACTTCTAGCCAATGTCGATCAAGGATGTGTGCTCCATGGACGCATGGCTGCATTGCACGATGCCGCTTTACTGCACACGCCCCTTCAAAACAATTTCATCGATACGCCAAAAAGGAGGCCAGAAAGCTGGCTCCACCTGGCTCGGCCCCTCCTTGGCGACATCGGAAAACTTTTTTGGGGATATGTACGTGCAACGACATGAGAACACACTCCCTTCAGGACGTGCGTCCTTCATGTCGTGCAAAAAAAACTTCCCGAATTCGGGACGAACACCGTCATGAATTCTCACGGCGACGTTCTGGTGGCCTACATGCCGCCTCTTCTTGTCCACTTCCGGATCGCGCCCGGCCGTCGACTTAGTCGAGTGCTGGACGGTCTCACCGAAGCGGCACAAGAGTAGGTGGCGCGTAGCGTCCACGGCCTCCCACAAGGGCTTGCATTCCGTGCAACGCGGCTCACACCCACTCGCACGTTTGTCTATTCTCAGATACACACACACACACAGACAGACACACCCACAGAAAGACATGCGCGTACAAAGGACCTGCAGGTGCGAGGGCTGCACATCCAAGGGTTCTTCCGGCCTTGGACGCAATGATGAATACGTATCCCTATCGTCTAGAAGCCATACCTATCAATGCAAGCACACCAAGAGCACTTTTGGCAGCAATATCCAAACTCCGAGCTTTCCCAAGTTGTGATGGCATCCGCGCATGGGCGGCCAGAAGAGCCGCCCCTCCGCGTCCACTCTGGGGCGGGAGGGCGGGTAAAATTATGATTTGCAGCACCCGGCTGCAAGCGTGCTCTTCACTTCAACTGGCATGGCACATCTAGACTTTAGGGATTGCCTGACGCAGGCAGACTGCGACAGATTCCAAGGGCTGCGTGAAGAGACCCTATAGACACATTGCCGACATGTAACTATAACTTTGGCACTGACATCCAGAGCGTCCTCTTCACGGTCACGACCGGGTGCTGCGGTCTCAGAGGCAAGGGACTGGAAGTTGCTGCTCCGCTTTGTTCGCAAACAAAAGGGGAAAGTTTGGCGTTGAGCACAACCCATCAGACTGCTGAGGTCTTCACGTGGCACAGACAGGCCTCCGGCGTCGGTTCTGCAACGACAAATTTCTACTATCCTCTATTCCTTCGTTTACAGCGGACCTGCATGCCTATCCAATCTATGCTGCCGTTCCCCTTTGCCATGCCGCTGAGGTCTTTGCTCCACGCCAGAAGGCCTTATTGCAGAAAACACTTCCGCTTCCGCCCAACTGTTTGTCACGGTGCGTCACGCATCGGTCCTCTTGTCTGAGGCCTGCGCTCACTGCGAGCCGGCCTCCAACACCCGCGCCTACCTTTGGCCACTCTCTGTCCCTGCGCTCCAGCCTCGAACTCGTGCTCTTTTCAACAGCTGCAGGAGGCCTGAAATTTAAGTGTCACTCTGCCAATTCCGCCCCCGGCTTCCCTGGCTGTCATGCTGCCTGGACTAGCAAAAACAGCAACAACAGCAGAAATAATAGCAATAAAGACTAACAGTATTAAGAATGGTGATGGAAGAAGTAGTAATGACATTAACAACAGGGCTAATCGTGACAATCGCACTAGTAGCTATACTAGCAATAGCCGTAATAGTAGTCATAAGAGAAACCAGAAGCACAGTAACAGTAAGAAGACAAAGTGCTAGAAGTGGTAGCTACTATACTGTCTATTGTCATGATTACTATTCCCATGACTATGACTGGTGTTGTCATGACTGCTGGCTTTTTATATGTTCTACTGACATGTTCTTATCTCAGTAACTTGTTGGATCGTTAGGCTTCCTTCTTGTAGGATAACTATATTATCGTCCTGTTGCAATTTGTAGTGGTATGCTATGATACTAAGAGTCGGAAATATAGACATGGTGTCCTATTGTTCCTTGTATAGTTATGCGATAATACTCTGATGTACCCCAGGACCTTCGGAGCCGGAGCTTAAGGCGGGGCTTAGGGACCAGGTCGGACTGCTTCGGCTTGGGCTTTACTGGGATTTGGGCTACTACTATTTGCTTAAGAACCCCCAAAAAATAAAAGATATATTCCTTATGGGGGTAATATAGGGAGTATTATTTGTATTTTTTGGGGGGTTCTTAAGCAAATAGTAGGCTAAACACCCTTCATCCCGCCGCTTCCTCAACAACACATTGCAGCCATCGAATCAACTTCAAAGGTCTCCGTTGCGCAGTACGCGTCGGCATCGTTCAGGAACCTGTGCAACGACATAAGTTATCATTCCCGACGTACGCTAATGGCTTATGCTGTCTAGCACTAGTGTTTGGCAGTGAATACCGCCAACTGAGACTATGACTATGACTCTGGTCTTCGTCAGTCTAGCCCCAGAACCCGAGCCCCCAAAGCCTGGGCTAGGCCCGACCAATGTCCCCAATCATTAAACCCTAAATCCCTAAACCCTAAACCCTAAACCCTAAACCCTAAACCCTAAATCCCTAAACCCTAAACCCTAAACCCTAAATCCCTAAATCCCTAAACCCTAAACCCTAAACCTATATCTTGGAGCCTGTACCAGATCTTGCAGCCTTGGAAGCAAGATAAAAAGAACAAGGGCCATAATCACTGTAGCCGTTGTCAGAGTTTAGGGTACATATAGCCAATTTATCCCCCTAATACAAACCTCTCTAAATTCCCTGATTCTGAATCCAGATTTGAAGCTTAACCCCTAGACCCTAGGCCCTAGACCGTCAAACGTGTCTGGCCCCTGTACAAGCGATAACTGTGGTCCAAGCAACTGAAGGTTAATGAAATCCGCAACGGTGTTCACGAACTCGTTCATGTCCTTCGGCAGTGGAGGTTGAGACGGATGGTTAGGCTATCGTGATTCAGACGTTTAGTAAGTTTAGGGTTTAAATCTGAGAGTTAGGCGTTTAAGCGCTTAGGTTGAACAGGGTTAACGGATTCAATGCATGGAAGGGACGCGGGTCTTCGATTTATCCGATTCTTCATTGGCCTACAGAGCATCGTGTCGCCTTTACGTGAGTCGAAAATGGAGAGGCTGTTTAACGCCGTTGAAGGTGTCACTGTGCAGATTGGGTCCGTGCGGGCATAGCGCGCGGGTGACTTGCTACACAGTTGTGGTAAATCAGCCGCGTCCGCATTTTTCGGGCCGCACGTTGCCTTTCTTTTACTTCATTCCTACTGCCTCTGTGCCAGTGCGAGCAAAAACTACTCTGACGAATGTTCAACTGCAGCCGGGCAGAGTTTCGGCTTTGCAGATTCTTGATTTGAGGCCCAGCGGTTTAGGGTTTGGGGCTTACGGTTTAGGGGTTTCGGGCTGAGGGTTTGGAGTTTGAGTTTTGGGGGGAGCTTATTATTCCGGCTTTTGGTGCTTGGGCACCTTGGAGGTTGGATGGGGGGGGTTACGCCAGGGAGCTGAAGTGTAAGGCTTCAACTTGGGCGTTTGGGGCTCGAGGGTTTAGGCTGCAAGCGTTTGCGATTTAGGGGTGTAGAAGTATGTGTATATATATATATATATATGGGAGCACGGGACCCTAAAAAAGAACACCAACAAAGAAAGCTCCTTCCAAATAGTGCCCTGGCACAGGGTACCCTAATTTTCTGAAGCCCCATGTATGCCACGGCAGAGAGATATGAACAATGAGCGATGAATCAACCATAAACCCCAAACCCCTTAACCCTAAACCGTAAAACTTGCACCATACACGACCCCCAAGAGCCCAACATAATCGCTCAACGGCCGCATCGGAGAGGCAAGCCAGGGCTTAGACTACCCATGAGGCCCTTTGGGGCCTGAACTGATTCAGAGTTTAGGGTTTGGGATGTGAGCTGTAGATCGTCGGATTTCGATGTAGGGTTAGCTTGACGCACGAGGTACTGCAAGCCAATATTGGATTGGAAGGCAGCATGCTCCCGCTTGAGCATAGGGTCTGAAGGATGAAGCTGTTCGATCAAGGGTACATTGCCTTTTCGTTCAAGTCTTGCGCGATGCGTTTCTGTCGTGACCCCCTTGAAGCAGTGTCAATCCCAAGACGGTGGTTGCCAGTGACTCTTGTTTCTAGATACGACTCCATCTTCATGAAGACTTCGACTATGCCGACCGCAAGCACATGCTTCTGATGTGCAGGCATTCGGTTTCTTTGAAACAGAGATTGAAACTCCTTGGCTTCGGATGCAGGGTGCGATAGCTCCGGCATGGAGGGGCCCACTTCTGTCATAGTACTTCTATCATAATTTCCCCAACCGACGTAACACTGGACCTGCTAAGATCCTCGAAGGCCTCCGTAAAGCCAGAAAAATACACGCATCACAACAATCCCGAAATCCCATGTGTCCTCGACACTGTAGCGCGTAAGGCCCAGGGCAACCACGGCATCATGCAAGGACTTGCCAGAAACAAGCTTCCTGCACAGTTTTGGGACTACCCTGAACCCAATGCCCTTACGGCTAGTTACCCCCCAATTCGAAAACAAAGGACCCAACCCCCCCACCCAGACCCTAAACTGCAAACCCTGAATCCACACCCGGAACCCAAAATTACAAAAAGACTCTAGTAATACTATAATGGCCCTATGGTAATATTAGAATATCACCATAAGAATACCAGAAGAATACCACAGAAATACTACAATCCCAAGTCTAACCGCCAGAGCTTGGCAACTCTTGGGCTGAGAGTCTGACCTGCCAGCCTAATCCTTGCTTGGGGATTTCAAGGGGTTTCTGTTGGTTTAGGGTTTAGGATTTAGGGTTTAGGGTTTAGGGTTTAGGGTTTAGGGTTTAGGGAATTTTGACTAGCAGTTGTAGTAGCCTGTTACAGTAAATACTATCGTACCTACTATATACTACCGATCTAAGTGGCTTTTCAGGCGAAGGGCTGTCCAAAGGTTAAGGGCTTAAGAGCTTAGGCGTCAGGGTTTAGGGTAGTTTAGGGTTTAAGCGTTTGTTGGGGGCTTATAGTGTAAGAAGACCCCCAGGACGTAGGCAGGTAGGGTTTGAGTTTGCATTAGACGCCCGACAAATTGAAGGAATGGGCGACGAGCCCGTGCAGAGCAATGTTTACAGGCGAGGTCGATTGATGGTAAGCTGTTTTTGGTTCGGGGTCGACAAACTTCTTTCTTGTCCGAGCATCGTTGTGGTGATAGCCCCCAGCCGCGCCCGAAGCCTGGAAACAAGGCAGAGAAAGCTCAGAGCCAGGATTTAGAGATTAGGCCTCCTGAGTTGCGTGACCCGCAAAAACCGAAAAGCTAAACGAAGGAACGAACCGTAAACCCAAACTACTGCTGGAATCCATCTGCCTCAGCGCCACAATCCACAATACATGAGGCTGAGTAGTGAAACCTGGATGCGCAGCACGAGATGCTCAACCGCAGCCTTGTCCACCCCTAGCCCACAACCCAAGCCCTCAACCCTACAGCCCAAACAGTGAATTCCAAGGCCCAAATCCTAAACCTCAAACCCTACAAATAGAGCTCATGGGCTGCGGGGGCTCGAGGCACAGGATTCAGGAACTTAGGGCTTGAGGGTTCACACGATCTGCAGTTGAGCAAGCATAACACCTATTCCGCTAAGTTCGAAAGCTCACCCCTGAACCCTGAGTTCTAAACTGGAGGTTGAAACCCTGCAACAAAGACTCCAAACCCCCCAAGCCACACCCTTAACTGAACCCCCAACAACCAAACACCCCAAAGAATCCAAGGCCTTAAGAATCACCTATGCCATGTTGGGGGGCTCCTTATTAGAATGAAGGTGAATATATCCCCAAAGAACCCCCCAAAAAAAACAGGCCTTTGGCTGACTGCCAGCGCCTCCTCCTGCTCCATGTCTTTCCTCGGTCATCGAAACCCCGTACCACCCCGAACCCAGGGTTTTACCGGGGTTATTGAGGGGTTAGGGCTTTAAGGGTTTAGGGTTCTTTAGGGGGCTGAAGCCCCAACCCTGCAACCCCAACCTCTAAAGTCCTAAATCTTAAAGGCGAAGCCCTACAGCCCGAGGCCGTCAAACCCCAAGCCTCCACCCCCCGTGCCTGCGTGTATGATGTGTATATCAGAGTAATATAGATAGATAGACATATATATATATATATAGGAACCGAAACCGAGATAGATTTCGAGATCGAGATAGAGATGGAGATAGAGATGGAAATGCAGACAGCGATGGAGATAGATGGAGACTCGCAGAAATAAAGAGATAGAGACAGGTATAGATGTAGTTCTTGGTATGCAGTTCTGTAGCTACGTAGTAATGGACATAAGCAGATATGTAGATTTATAGATGCACGGGTATGTAGCTGTACATACATACATGTATAGATGAACAAACAGCTATAGGTACTTCTACAAACATCTGAGTATCTAGGTCCCGGGTGTATATGTCGGCATTTGAAAAATATGTGTATATATATACAGATAGGCAGGCACACAAATTTATGCGCATATACGCAGTTGTGTAGATACGTGAATATAAACATTTGTATACGTGTGTATACATGTATAAACACATATATATATATATGCAGTTGTAAGCACTTATATACAAGCACACACACACACACACACCGTGTGTGTGTGTGTGTGGGGGGGGGGGGGGTGGAGGGTGCGCATAATAGAGAGAGAGAGAGAGAGAGATGTGTATGTATATATATATATATATCCGAAACCATTGCATCATACCCCGAAGCCCTACACCCTGCATCGGCCCCACACACTCTCAGCAGACAGCACACATCCTCTTCCGCCACATAACAGTGTGTCTGTGTGTGTGTGTGTGCGTGAACCCTAAACCCTCAAACGTCAAACCCTGAACTTAATTCCCGCCACCATGGGATTCTTGGAGCTTTACACGCCCCAAGCCCCATTCTAATTTTAGGCTTTTTGGATTTGAGGGTAAGCCCTGAACTGAGGTTGGACGAGTTGCAGGCCGGAGTGCAATGAGCAGGCGGACATGGAAGCGTTGTACCTACTTCGAGGCTCATAGTTACAAGTGGGGTTAGACGTCCCTTACTATTGGTTATAGCAACACTTGCCCTACTTAAAACCCATGAACCAAGTGGGTAGTCGGATCTCAGAAAAGACGAGACCACGCCAAAGCAACACCAGGGGCCTTTCTAGGTACAAAAGGGCTTGGGGAATGGCTTATCATACAACAATGACATTGAAAACTGCCCTGGCTTCGAGCTCCTGTTATATCCTGAAGTTGGTAGGGCAGCAGGGCATTGCATATTCCAGGGTCCTTTATATCATTGAACCGTCCTTGCGGAACACTCCTTTCGGGACCCATAGAATAAGGATCTTGCTTCTTGGGGTGGATACTCAAGGTCGTCTGGGGAGGAAGTGTGCAGTCTACAGTTGGTGGCCTCTGTCTTGATATAGGCCTTTCAACTTACGGTTTAGTTGAACGCGTAGGCTCTGTGTGTGTCTTCCACACATCAACGGGTTGCTTAATGCTCTTGTATCCGACAACCAGAAATGCTTGTCCTAGGGCTTGCCTCACGAATCATCCGTACTACATTGTTCGAATTGCGTTGGTATAGGGGTGTTTGTATCAGGAGTAGGGTTGTGACATGGTGTCTATGTCTGGTGTTCTCAAATTATTGAAAAGTTAGGGTGTTGCAGTCTTGCACGTAAGATGCTGTCGGCCAAATGGGAAGGTCAGCGAAAGCAGCAAGTGGCTATGTCTGAGCTTCTGCGTACTCCGGTCGCCAAAGCAAATCCTACGAGTCATCAAAAGTAAAGTCTATGTCGGAACCTGCTGCGACTGAGAGGGAGTAGGAACTTGCTAGCATCAGAGTCAGAGTATCAGAGTACCTGGACCTAGCAACCAGAC